AGGGCTGATTGGCTGACAGTTGTAGAACGTCAGTACTTTCGGTCTGTGTCGTGAAAAGTGATGGCATGATAAAGAACATGGGAAAAATATTTCAGAACAGACCCGCTCTCGTCCAACAATCTGCAAAACTAATGATTCCTTGTCTATTGCAATTTTGCCGAAACGTTGCAATAATTGATTGAGAAACGACGTCGAGCCTACTTTTTTCCTATGAAAGAAGCTGCAGGAAGCCTCACCACTGCTACTATGATAAAGAACGAAAGGATTTGTCCAGAACTGTCCTTTTTTTGGTACGGTCATCACTGAATCTACATAACAATATAATACTTCAAAGTACTAGTATTCTCCATTCCATTGTTACTTAGAATCACTGGTGGCGGTAACAAGAAAACAGCTCTGAACAAATCCTTTCGTTCTTTCTCGTTGTGTGCTCTACAATCATCCCATTTCACATTATACTCATGCATGTCGACAAATATGAAACGCGGCAGGAGGTGAGTTGTACATCAGACCCACCATAAAGTGGTCAGACACCAAAAATCCCATTTGCTGCATCCATGCTTCCCTAGTGCCATGCCATAAGTTCCAATTGCTGGTTGGTTGGTGGGTTGGTTCATTTTAATTCGCACAATAAACGGGAACTAGGCACAATGATATACAGGCACATGGATATGCCGCATTTGGAAACGAGAGGACAGGATTTAGAAAATTACGAAAGAAGAATCTGACCGAGGAGTCAAGCGAGTACCAGGGGTGACATGGTGGTCGAGGAGAGCTAGGGGGCAGGCTAGTCTGAGCAACAATATGGTAGGCAACTTATGCGAAACGTGTTCTGTCTTGCTATGGTATGAACGTCATCATGCAGCAAGTTCCAGAGTGCAGATCCTGCGACGGACGGCCGAGAAGCGCCAGAGCGAATTGTGGGTCACAGCACGGCTGGAAACAATCCTTCCGCTTCCAAGCAGGACTTTAACGTGGTATCCTCTGTTTCTCAATCGGGGCCTATCACTACTAAATAGAAATGAAGAAGAAAATGAGCACAAAAATCTGAGCACAACATCCCTCCGAACATTGCATGGAAGAAACAGTACTGGCCAGTGCGCGTTATCAGCATGTTTGATTATAAGGGTAAAAGAAGATATCCGCAAGTGGGCATAGCGCACTATTAAAGAAGAAGCGCACAGGCATACAGCGTCAACATTCATACTTCAAAAGGACTCGGGTTCACGGAGTCCCTGAGTAGAGCTGAGGTGTTGTAATTGACAATGACCTCTCCTGGAAGGGACATAATATGATCAGTCATGTTACAAGCAAGCTCGGGCCAGTAATTAGACAGCTATGGCGACACGGCAGGTCCCTGAGCCTAAGAGCCCGCCAAGTTTGGTATGTCAGCCTGATACAGGCTCATCTGTCCTATGGATCCAATCTTCTCCAGTCTTTCAATGCAGCTCCTGGATAAACTCCACCGCCTGTCAAAATCCGGTGTCAGAGCGACCCTGCAGCAAAGGACTCTGGTCCCGACTGCCCCTCTTCTCGAGCTACTGGGTGTGCCAAGCTTGCCACATCGTCTTTTCCAGAAGCTTGCCATCTTCGTTTACAAATGTTTAAATGACAAGACAAGTCCCCTGTTAAAGACTCTGTTCGTGCCGATCAACGACCCTGCCACACCTCAGTTGAGGACGACAAGGGGTCAAATGTCAAGACTGCTGAGAGTTCCGTTCCTCCCTGGTCCCGCTGGACGTCGTTCAATTCAGTTTGTTGCCAGCATTCTGTGGAATGCTCTCCCAGTTGCAGTCCGTACGGAAGGCGATTGGCGGACATTTAAAGCTCTTGCCACGGCTCTCGACTTGCCCAACCTTTACCCATATTACATTTTGTGTACCTAACTTCATGTCAAAATCCATTTTAACAATCCGTATATCTCTCTCCCCCTCTCTCTGTGTCTCTGTCTCTGATAGAAACACATACTCTCTCTCTCTGTCGTTGTTGTTGTTGTTGTTGTTGTTGTTGTTGTTGTTGTTGTTGTTGTTGTTGTTGTTGTTGTTGTTGTTGTTGTTGGTGTTGGTGTTGTTGTTGTTGTTGTGGTTGTCGTCGTCGTCGTCGTCGTCGTCGTCGTCGTTGTTGCTGTTGTTGCTGCTGCTGTCGTTGTTGCTGCTGCTGTCGTTGTTGCTGCTGCTGTCGTTGTTGTCGTTGTTGCTGTTGGTCATTTTGTGACAGCTTGTACAATTCCCTTGTCCAGATAGTAAAGCCGTCTCTCTCCTCGTTCTCTCTCTCTCTCTCTCGCTTTCTCTCTCTCTCTCTCTCTCTCTCTCTCTCTCTCTCTCTCTCTCTCCCTCTCGCTCTCGCTCTCTTTCTTTCTCTCTCTCTCTCTCTCTCTCTCTCTCTCTCTCTCTCTCTCTCTCTCTCTCTCTCTCTCTCTCTCTCTCTCTCTCTCTCTCTCTCTCTCTCTCTCTCTCTCTCTCTCTCTCTCTCTCTCTCTCTCTCTCTCTCTCTCTTGTTGTTGCTGCTGTGGTGTTGCCGTTGCTATTGTTGTTGGTCTGTTGTTGTTGTCGCTGTTGTTGTTGCTGTTGTTGTTGTTGTTGTTGTTGTTGTTGTTGTTGTTGTTGTTGTCGTTGTTGTTGTTGTTGTTTATGAAATTTTATTTTCTATCGCAGACCAAACGGGCAATTTTGCCCAATATTATAATCTCTATCTCCATCTCAATCTATCGCTCCTCTCTCATCATGCATGCGTCACACTCTCATGGAATTTTCTCTTATAAGAGTGCATGCTTCACACTCCCATGTAATATTTCTTTCCTTTCTTCGTCTTTTTGTGAGAGCTTGGACAATCCACTTGTCCAGGCAAGAAGGCAGCAATGCCTGTTCATTCTGGCGATGTAAAATAAAATATACCAACCAACCAACCAACCAGTACACACGCCAGTTGCGCATAACAGGTGTTAGTGGACGTTACGCTTCTGTATCACTCACAGCTGGCATCCAGTGTTTGCATTCTAGAGATGGCGTTCTGTTTTCAACTGGTGGTGACTATTGATTATGTACGTGGCCGGTTTACAGAAGTCAGCTACATGAGAACAGTGTGGTCTATCCCATAAATTAAGACAGGGAGCACTAGATTCACTGGTGACCATTGTACTAGCATTCGTACCACTGGTCACTCGCGAGCCTACCCTTTGCGTGCACATGGGAACAGCACCTCAAACCTCAAATCATGTGAATGCCAGAACTATGTTGTGCTCACTGGAGATTAGCTGGTATGAAAGAGATGCGACGCGCTGATGTGAGGTTTGATGGCAGTGGTTCAACGTGTCCTGCGACATGGATTTACCCCGCGGTCATTTCTGCGTTGTTGTTTTTGTGATTGCTGTTTGGGCCGGATTAGCTGCCTCTAGTTCAGGTACGTAGGCCCCGGGAAGAGGTTTTGGATACTGTCTTCGTGTCTTATTGCACTCGGTATAGTTAAAAAAATTAAATATAAAAAAAAACTCGGCATAGCACTATTATATGCTCATATCCGTTTCCGTCAATTCCTCTAGTTCCCCCAGTACTAGTAATTCCCAATGTTCAAACCCTTCTGGGTGTGCCGTCGGCCTAAAAGAGAAGCCATCTGAAAATAGATCTCAGTCAAGTCTCGACTCTCCGTTACTTACCCAAGCACGCACCCCTCACAGATACACATATGGGCCTCCGGAGTGAAAGATTCTACGGAATAAGCGAAGGTGTAAACCTTCAGTACTGAATCATGAGTATGCAGAGATGATATTTGTGATGCAGAATCAAAATCGCTACACTATGCAAAGTTCCACATACCCGACATATGCAACGGGCATACCAACTACTCGTTTCTAAAAGGGAGGCTGGCCTTGGAACTGTGAGAAGGTGGAATTTCTCTATAAGGCACAGGCTGGGCCTTTTGGTAATGCTGTACGATTGGGGCACGATATTTCATATCCCAGCTGATTTCTAATTTGCATTTGCCGTTTTTGCAGTTCCCAAACGCTCGCGGAGAGCTCCGATGTTGTAGTGTATCGCTCACGCCAGAATGTTAAGGAATGGTTATTCACTATTGTAAAACAGAAAGGTTCCAGGCTGTCCAATATAGTGTCCAGTACCGAAAGGCAGAGCTAGTTCAAATAGGAGGACGAAAAAGTGTTTTAACTCCCAGTTTCACCCACTAAATGTAAGCGATCATCAGAAAACTCCCATGTTCTCGCTCCACATATACTTGCACACGCAGAGACATAGACAGCAATAGCGACACTACCCGAAGTGAAGGGTAGTTGGCCGCAGCCAGATGTGACTGAAGGGTAGTTGGCCGCAGCCAGATGTGACTGAAGGGTAGTTGGCCGCAGCCAGATGTGAACCGGATAACGAGTGAGGTATGGTAGCAAGGGTTGAGAACAGATTGTCTCAGATAGAATTGGCGTGCCTGTGGATAGCAGAAATAGCCCATGATGCCGAACCGCTTGGAACCGTCAGCTTTATTTTTCTGGACCGAGCCAGCCGGGAAAAAACCCAGGTGTATATCCCTAAAGGCGAGTAGGCATCATGTAGGCATGGCAAGCACATCACGACAAAAAGTGATAAAAAAGCAATGATAATATGCACAGAAATGAACGGTGGGAGGGCAGAGACACTGGTGAGACTCAAAACTAACTGAAGAAGTCAGGAAAAGAAGCGACAATAAAGAACACACAAGATGCCATATTTGCAACAGAAAATATTTCGCGAGAAATCATTTCTCGCCTATTTCGCTGCGCTCGGCGGCGAGAAATACAACTTTCTACTTGTTTTCTGCTGATCGCTTTAATAGTGCGTGAAACACGGAGTTAAAACACCTTTTTCATCCTCTTAGGATTTGTTGGAATGGTTAGTGTAGCACGATTCGAAACTTCTGGCCCTCATGGCGATGTATGTCTTAGTCTGGAGGGATGGCACTTGCGGCTTGTACACGATTCGACATGATTTGAAGATGCTGAGACCTGTGGTCGATTGCACATGGCAGGCCCCATCAGCACCATCTCACCTCATGCTAGCCCCGTGTACCTGCTGGTGAGTTGTGTATCGTGTACAAAGTTGTCAATCGACAGTCAATCCACAAGGCTAGTGTTATGAACCCTCTAAGATTCTCTAAATTGTCAGGATCGTACGACCACACGGCACGAGGACAACTCTTTTCCTTTCCACAGTATATTTCACTTCATCGAATAATTAACAATGAACACTAATACCACCAGCTATTTATAGCATGCAAAAACAGCGTACATGCAAAACATACGCATATAAAACGGGACATAACAGCGTATACAGCAAAACGCACACAGCGCATATAGCGTATGCCATGCAGCAACATCAGCGGTACGGCGGAGTCGAAATACAACATTGCGACGAATACAATGCCATAAGCGCGAAGGCCTTTCCCAATTGAAAACTGGTGGTTTGCAACAGCTAGGGCGCACCCGCCTCTGGGAATACGAAACAAATTTGATTAGGATCTTGAATAATGAGTACTGTTCTACATGACTGTAACAAGTGGGAGGGGGGGGGGGGAATTCAATAGCCAACAGCACGCATCACTCGAACTTAATTTTGCCCAACATGTTGTTGCCGAATGAAGTGCGGAGTAAATTTTTGTTCGTTATCACCGACCATTAACTATGAAGCTTACCTAAGTAGGTATACACATTATTATGCTGTTGTGGTTTCGTTTTTGCGTGTTTTTCTTTTTTTCTTTCACTTTGAGTTGAAATTTTTGGCACACTTGGGAAAATATTCATTGTGTTTATTTTGCCCGTAAAAGAGGCTGCAATCAACTATGAAGCCGCACAATGACCAAAAATATAGCAAAACGGATTCTCCTTGGGTTCTCTATGAAATCGAGAGTGCCCTTCCAACCATCTGTATAATATTTTGCATTGAGAATGTCTTCTACATGATTACATTTGTCCTGGCAGATGGTGCATGGTCAAACTGGACGGGCTACGGGAGATGTTCAAGTGTGTCAGGAGGAGTTTGCACGAAACGGCGCCACCGCACCTGTACTAATCCACCACCAGCCAATGGAGGAGCTCAGTGCACTGGAATCTCACAGCAGCTTCAGACTTGCAGTTGTCCCGTGGATGGTGGATGGTCAACATGGATGGCACAAGGAGCGTGTTCAGTGAGTTGCGGAGGTGGTCAGCAGATTCACGTGAGATCTTGCACCAAACCCACTCCAGCACACGGCGGGACTCAGTGTACTGGTCTACACATCCGGAACATAACATGCCAGATAAATCCATGTCCGATCAACGGGAAGTGGTCGCCATGGTCATCATTCAGCCAGTGTAGCAAGACGTGCGGGGGGGACGAAGACAAGAAGGAGAACATGCTCGTCTCCCTCCCCAGCCCATGGTGGGTATAACTGTTCGGGATTTTCTGCAGATACAAGGAACTGCTCTCTGCCTTGCCCAATTCACGGAGGTTGGTCATCATGGTCATCCTACACTCAATGCAGTAAAACATGCCAGGGGACCCAGCAACGAACGCGATTCTGCACTAATCCACCACCTGCTAACAGCGGTGCAGGGTGTACTGGAGCTCCAACTGATATCAGGATATGCGGTGCTACCTACTGCCCAGTGGATGGGAAATGGTCAACCTGGTCACCATACAGTGCATGCAGTGCAACTTGCGAAGGAAGCAAGACTCGAAGCCGGTCATGCACCGACCCTGCCCCAGTATATCTAGGTGCTGAGTGTCAAGGAATTGCGACTGAACATGCAATCTGTGGTGAAGCACATTGTCCAATTGACGGGAAGTGGTCAGCCTGGTCACGATATGGTGCATGCAGTGGCACATGCGAGGGATACCAGACTAGAAAAAGGAACTGTAGCAACCCGCCACCAGCACACAAGGGGCTTCCATGCCAGGGCAAAAGCTCTACTCAACAGCAACGATGCGGCAGAAGTCACTGTCCAGTAGAAGGTGGGTGGTCGCAGTGGTCTCCAATTATGAGTGCTTGTTCAGCAGGCTGTGGGACTGGAAGTCGCACTCTGAGGCGTTATTGCAACATGCCAGAACCCCGGTATGGAGGATTGAATTGCTCCGGCGAGGGTGAAAGGAATGAGTCATGCTTCTCGCGGAAATGTACAGAAGGTAAGTAATGATGATTCCTTTGAACAACACGTTATGCCATCGTTGTTTTTACGCTTTGTCCTTGATTTGGGTAATATTCAGTATTAAAATGGAATTATTACTATTATTTTATTTATTTTACTAGAGTGTTTCCCACAGACCTATGGTCTTCTTACGGGAGCCCCTAGAAAGGTTAAGCATGAACGAACAAATGGGCGATAATCTGTACAAGAGCGAACAGAATTGCAGGGAACTCAAATACTCGTTCATGGTACCATGTGGTATACACCTGCAATAGAGAGGTTAGAATGCACGTTATTTCCGACGTGACGCGCAATTTCACGTCAAATTTGGCGTAAAACTCCAAATTTTGACGTGAGCAGCAGGTCGCTCCCGTTGATTTTTCGACGTGCGGACAAATAACGCGAGCTGAACTTTCGCAACACGTCGGAAATAATGTGCATCTTAACCTCTCTAATGTCTTAGACAAACCACCTTTCTCATAGAAGTCGGCTTTCTTCTTACATTGATGACTTTGAAGATACACTGCCGGCACATAGATCTGGAATTTGTATGGGCATACATAAAAACCGTAAATTGGAGTAGAAGCCTGATTTTACTAGAATCCCAGCATTGATTGATAGACGGAGAGTTTTCAGTTTCTTGCTGTGCACTTTTCAGTTAGGCATAGCTTTTCCATTTTTTTCTCCTTGACATTATGTATACCATCCAGGGGGAGAGGGGGGGGGGGGGTATTGAACGCTATCATTAACCTTTGCTGTCTACATTCATATCACAGTGTCTACAGTCAGTTCTGAAAGTCAGCGGAACTCAACTACAAAGGGTGGCGATCTACATCCGGGCAGCAGTCCTATGGAGCCTGCCCAGGGTGAGAGCTCGCAAATCAACAAATGGTCACGTTCCACATTCGTCGGACTCGGTGTTTCAGTGGGTGTTACTATTCTTCTTTCAACGGTTGCACTCACACTCTGGAAGATGAACAAGTTGCCAGTGAGGACGTGCCTCGCTGAAAATCGAGAAGGTGAGCATTCTCGTGCACTGTACCTGAATAATTGCATTCATGAATCCGAGGGAGTTGGAAAAGAATTATGTTTGGGATACATTTGATTACGACCACCATTCACGCAACAAAAGAGGTTAGGACACAGCCCTAGCTATATTCAGACACTTCACTTAAGACAAGCATCGAACCAACAGTAAGCTAAAATTAGCGTAGAACATTACAAGCTGAATCGACCGGATTGGCGTACTCGGTTGCAGGACATTGGAGGGCAGGCACCACGCGCTGTCTGTGGCCGCTCCCTACCCGTGGAACGCACGACCCAGCAACAGACGCACCATCTCCCCAACGCAGTGTGTTCAAGACCTCAGTCATACCCCATAAACTCACGCCATGAAACGTGTCAGCCCTCAGTTGTTTTGTTGACATCATTGGGTCACCCGGACAGCCACGACTCCTATACACAGTCACTTTTGTAGTCGCATCTGCTAAACAGAGCTTTCTAAGGTCGAAACGATACAAAACCGACGCACTTGGCTGGATACGAATGCTGTTGGATTTAGCGTGAAGGATTGTTGTTTGTTTATTTAGATCCGGGTAAAATGCTAACAATGTCTATTAATCAATAACGAACGTGTTCTTGTGAAAATCGTAAGCCAAAAAAAACGAGTGTGTGGTGAGAAATAACGAGAATAATGTCGAAAGAAAGATCGGTATTTTCCTAATTTTAACATTATCCATGGAGGTCAATCAATCCAGTTTAGTACTGAGGATGAGAATTGACAACGGTTGGCACATCATAATTTTATAGCTAGTCACATTGAACTATTTGAAATTCAGCACATAATAGTTATTTCTTCATCTATTTCAATGTTGACAGATGGCGATCTAGAACTCAGAAATGAGTTCGGTTCCAACCAGGATGCCCCTGTTCTGGATCTGAACACTCCTACAAGCATGGAAGCCAATGAGGCGTATGAGAGCTGTGGAGTCGCAACGAGTGATGCATATGGCTGTGTGGACTTGCGCGTCAATCAGGTGCTTGGTGACAAGTCTGAAACTGGCGGCGCACGAGAGTCTGAGAGCATCACAGAAGGAGAATACGCTTTTATCCGTAGGTGTTTTTTCTGTCCGCGTAAAGTGCTGGCAACTGAAATCCGACCCCCTAGCGGTCTCTGTTTCGTAGTTTTACCATCCCGTGTTGGGTCTTTGCAATGTGAGCGCACAGCTCAGGGGTCGGATTTCAGTTGCCAGCACTGTAGTTATTTACGGATGTCCCCTTACTTTACAGTATGCATGGAGGTCGAGCGCCCGAGTTTAGTACGTTTAACGCTGCACACACTGGGGGAATCAGAATTGCCGTCAGTTTGCACACAGCATTGATATCTCGCACTTCGAAGTAGTCACATTCAACAACAAGTATGATACTATTAGTGTTCTTATAAGCTTGCATGTGTGGGCAAGATGGGTAAACCTTAATATTTTGGTATCCAGGACATAATATTTCTTAACCTTCTTTCCTGTTGACAGATGGCGAACTGGAACTCAGAAATGAGTCCAGTTTTAATCATCGTGCTCCTGATTCGGATCAGAACATTCGAACAAGCCTGGAGGCCAATGAGGCCTATGAGAGCTGTGGACTCGCCAGAAATGATGCATATGGCTGTGTGGACCTGCGCCTCAACGAGATGCTTGGTGGCAACTCTGAAACTGGCGGCTTAGGAGAGTCAGAGAGCACCACAGAGGGAGACTATACTTACATCCGTAACCTATAGTACAAAAATAATGATCATTCATAACTTCCAAACACTTTTTCACCATTCGCTTGAGTTATGTACAGCGAGCGTCAACTGATCTCCATGTAGCAATGGGCACACGTTTCCCACAGATGCCTACTCAAATGTTATTTCTTATCTTCCATCCCTTTGTCTATCGAGTTGCATTTCTGTAGTCGAAAGCGTTGCCATACACCATGCGCCGTAATGCTAGCAGATCGACCGGAATAACATAATATTTCGTAATAACTACGTTATCATGTGTACTCGACATAATTATATTCTGTACTCTTTTCAGCATACATCCTTGTAGAAATCTCAAAATGATTGTATTATTATACTTTTCGAGTGTTGTAAACGATTTTTGCCTTGTCAGTATATGCAGTTAGTACATGTAGCAGTGTATACACTCTTGGAGCATATTGACTGACAATAGGACGAAAACTTTGTCATGTCTCGCTGCATTGGATTAGGCCGCACCACAGTAGCTATATGTAACGTCTCACCACGAGCGATCGCGAACGAAGACAATTATTTTCTGGTCGCTGAGGTGAGTGGGAGGAGGTAAAGATCTGTGAACAAAACAGACAGCACATTGGGACTGGGACGGTCTGGAGGTGTAAATGAGCAGATGACATCAGCACCTTACATGGAGTGCCTCCCCTCCCATTTGTCAATAAATCCCTAATGGTTCTAAAAGTCCATTCTCCTGATGTTTTTGCCATTATGTAACTCTGTCATTCTGATCGTCATTAATGAAAGTGCAAGAAACCGTTTGTATTCATAATCGGTAGCCTAATCTCTGAAAGCAAAAGCAGGACCTTGCTTGGCGTTATTTGTCAAGTCGCACCTTGCTGGTCATAGTAGTGTGAGCACATGTAGTGTGCTGTTTGGTGTCTACCAATCACGTGCTGGCCTGCGCATCATTGCACTGGAATTCGTCTTGCTCCAACTATGGTACATTAATCTTCTGCTACAATGGCCTGTTGGTTTATTCCCATTAATCATCTACAAGAAGTAGTCAAATTTTAATGATGAGATCAGGAAGAAAACTTGTTTGGTCAAACCGAACCAACCACGGTCCGTTCCTGGAACGTACTACCAGAGGTGAAAGTGACTAATTTCGAAAGATTTGGGAGGCGGTGGAAATATTTTCGCAATCTCTACCTTCTCATGCAAAGGCGCAAATCGACACAATCCAAGTTGTACAATGTACTGTTGAGATACCGAATTCAAATAAATCAATACCATACCATACCATACCAATAAAGTACACCTCCTTTGATCTATCGAACTTTGGGAAAGACAAGGTTTAATAGATGAGAAGAAGTGTCTACTAGATTGTGTGGATTTGCGTCTTTGCATGGAAAGGTAAAGATTGCTTGGGAGAACTTCAAACTTCAGGAATTAATCACTTTCTTTCTCAGATGGTTAGAGCATTGGTCATGACAGGCAAGGTCCCGGGGTTTGGGTCCTGGTGGTTCTGGCATTTCTTCTCTTTTCAGGCAGTTTACTTCCCACACTGATGCTTTGAAATTGTAATAATAAATGCCGTTGAGACACCACCCTCACTTCTTGCGTGTACCGGTTTCAAATTAACCATGCAGAAAAGCAGGAAATTCGTGTCTCCTCCTTTGAGCTATAGTAAAAATTAATATTCTTAGCCCTCCAATAACCGAAGGATCCTTAGGTAAAATGAACTTCAACTGATGCTCTATTTCCAGCCTCTTGAACAGGCCAACGATGCAGGCTAGGGTAAGCGCGACTTAAGGAGTCATCAATATTATTTGGAACTATCTACTGGCTATTGCCATGATATAATGCGAAATGACCTCTTTAACGGGCAAGGCGAAGCACAATCATTAACATGTATCAGTACAGTGAATAGTTTTTTGTTTGTTTGTTTCTTTTATTTGAATTCGTTTAGAGCACAGGCAATTCTGCCTTCTCACCAGAGGAAAAACCTCCGGTTTCTGCTAAGAACGAATATAATATTATGAGAGAAGGAAATATTAAAAAGAATCATAACATGATAATTCCTTGGATGCAGAGGAACTTAACCCAAAAATCAAAACTTCATGGTCCGTAGAGTTTTGGACACTGAGTCGAATGGTGAAGGTCCCACGTCAAACCGACCAAGCGTTGTTGAGATATATCAGTTTGAAATTGTCCTTTTCGGGTCCGTGCCGTGACGTCGCAACTCCGTGATGTCATTGAGACTTGGTGATCCTTTGGCCAGATCCAGAAACATTGGAATTTCAAATCTTCTTTCTGTTTGTCCATGGAAGAAGAGGGTATTTGCTGTCATCATGGCTTCTGGCTGTGTTGTTGGCTACTATAATCTTACTGGCAACCCCCCTGGGATGAACCTGCACCAATTTCCGCAGGATTGTGCTTGGTACAGGCCGAGCAGTGCACCATAGCAGCTATCAAGTGACATAATTATTTGCTTGACAATTTCGGGACTACAATGTAAATCCTTCGCGTGTGTTCCAGCCATTTGGCAGAGGAGGATTTTCAGGAGGAATATTATGCACTCATCCGATGCGGACGCTGGTGGATGAAACTGTGGTGTGTCCTTTTTTCGCACGCCACACTGTGAAGCGTCAGACGAAAAGCGGAGGTGAGTGCAATATTCCACAAAATATAGCTACTGGATATAATTCTTTCTTTTCCAAAGCATTTGTAGAACTGTTTTGGACTACATCACTACGAAATGTGAAGCTTTCCGAAAAAGGCCTAATGACGGGTGGACGGCAGTAGATCCACTGTTTCCCTAGGCTATACTGCGTGCGATCGATGAATCTGTCTGCGATTGCTGTTCTTGATTTTACAAGAAGAAGATCAAGAGCAGCTGTACCATCGGTCGCTGTGACTCACTGTTGAGCTACGACCACTGCCACCGCCCAAAGGTTATAGGAAGGACTGTTTGCAGCGCCAGCGCCTCTAGCTGGCAAGTTTTTTCCTGTATGAACGGACAGTATGTACTGCTAAAAAGCTACATCACGCAATGACCTCCAGTTCAAGGAGAGAAGATAGTCCACATACCGCCACCAGTGTACACCTATTCAGGAACTCGTTGCGTTTTCTCAGTATGGATGCAGATGAGAGCCAGACATTATTATTATTATTATTGTGTATATGCTTGCACGCGCGTGAGTGTGTGTGTGCGCGCGCCCCCGTGTGTGTGTGTGTGCGCGCGCACGTGAGTGTGTTTGCGCGCATGCGCGTGAGACACAGACATTATCATTATTATTATTGTGTGTGTGCGTGCACGTGCGTGAGTGTGTGTGTGCACGCACGTGCGTGACTGGGTGTGTGTGCGCACTTGCGTGAGTGTGTGTGTGCGCGCGCACGTGCAGGCGCAAACACGTGTGTGCTTTTGTGTAGCGTAATACATGTGTAACATTCCAAAGATATTCACGTCATCTATTCTGTGTACTCCTTTACGTCATTCTCTCCCCCTTGCGGGAGGGACATGGAATGACAAGTAGTAGATGCATTGCCCTTAGTGATCCTGAGGGATGTGTGCGTGTGCAACCAAGTGCATGAGTGCGCGCATGTGTGCATGGACGAGCATGTGCACAGGCACTTGTATGCTTATGCTCTCGTGTGCGCACGCGCTTGTGAAATTGCGTGTCTGCGTGCGTGAGCATGTGTGACTACTATACTATGTGCCCACCAAGGTGAGCACATGTGCGTGCGTGTGTGTGGGGCGCAGGCGGATATGTGCACACATTTTAGAATGATAATCAAGAAGGACGGAGAGCTGTTCCGGTAATGCAGTCATGAGACACCACACTAGGGCAAAACGCACTCAATATGCTACTGTGCTGTTGCTGCTGCTACTAGAGTGCACAGCGTAATTGTTGGTACACAGCTACGTGAAATACAAGAGAACGTCTCAGCATTCTGTAAAGACTAAGTGCAGATAAGGCAAAAGGTGAGAATGTATTTCGCCACAATACGAGGTGCATGCAGTCCACTTATGTGAGATAAAGCACAAGTGAACGGATACACATTGCACGACTTGCACGGAGATAATGCTAGCCATGTTACGCAGCAAACTCCATGTACAGGAGTACGAATGAGGAGACTATTGATCTGAGTACTGTGCGAATACAAAATTTCACACAATTTACGATATGAAGAGAACGATTCGATTTGTGAGCATTACGTAGGACTATACTGTGAAAACACTTACGGATTGTCAGGCTTGTCTGAGCTGCTTTGGTCTGCCGCTTCATTTCGAAATAGCCCAGCCAACCGGTCGCCAGATGTTGCTGATGGAGAGCGACTTCTCCAATTGCAGTCATTTCTGCTTCATCCACATTTACAGCCCGAATGGAAGCCACCGATTGCGCTGCCATATCCTTTCCTGAAAATTTCGGCTCATGCCCGAAGCCAAACATTTTCAGCTCAGGCTCTGAGCTTTCAAGCTCGTCTGATATGTCGGAATCGCTCATGGTGAGGACGTCTTTGTCAGAACTATTCCTTTCACATACCGTATTTCCCCGGTTGTAAGTCGCACCTTTTTACACTAAAATTCAGGGTAAAAAAGGGTTGCGCCGTACAATCGAGCATGACTTACTACTGAAGCGAATATATCGCAACAATATTGCTGAAACCTGAAAATGGGGTTGCGATAATCGAGAGCGACTTATAATCGGGGAAATACGGCACCAAAATGCTTGTACATCTGAGCTTGGCCCAGGCAGGATAGTCTCAATAACGTAGGAGAGCGTTTTGGGGGTGTGTCGCGGCCGCATGACGTCATGGCGCGTCCCCGAAAGTACAATAATTCAAGCCGAAGATTTCTCAGGAACGCTTGGTCGGATCGAAGTGGGACCTTCACCATTTGACTCAGCGTCCAAACCTCTACGGACCATGAAGTTTTGATTTTTGGGTGTAGTTTCCCTTCAAACTCAACACGAATGGAAAATATAGATAAGAAATAGATCAAAAAAATCTGTTATAAAATATTGAAATAGAAGAAATCACATGGAAGCGAGTTATACGAGTTAAATAAAAAAAATATTTGACATATTCAATTTCGAACACGCAAATCTGTGCACAGCAACTGTTTCCCTCTGTTAGAGCTCCTCAGCACAGCTCAGAGAACTGAAGCGCAGCTCTTTGCAATGAAACACGTTTCCTTGAAGCAAAGCATTTTTATAAAGAGCTGCAAACCCCACCAAGAGTGCTCGAAATGCTCCA